CTTAAAGTAGCAGAAAAGTTGATAAATATAAATGTAGTATAGGAAGACAAAAATAGAGTTGTAAATTAACAAAGTACACATTTGTTACTGTACTTAGTTTGAGGTACTCAATACATCACTGAAAATAGCAGCTGACACAAATTTCAAAGAAAGCAGTGTTCTTGAAGAAATTCTAACATATTTGWTAGAGTTGGGCAATATTGGCAAAAAATTAATCACGATTAATTGTGGTGTTTAGCCGATAATGATTAATTTGACGATTAGTCCCCTGGAGTCCCTGGGACACCCTTATGTCCTGGTCACATGACCAATTTAGTTGGAAAGATTTGCTGTTCATAAAAATCTGTTCCAAACTGTCAAAATTACAGACAAGCTATGCATTCAGGCTATACATCAAATTTTAAATTGTGTTGCTAGATAAATAAATTTCAGAATTAATTTTTTTATGTTTGTTATATTTGAAGTGGAGAGGAGCACCGAGTGGACTGACCGGGGAAATATCTAGTCAATCTGCCYGGTGACATTAATCGTATTAAATGTCAAGTGCCAAAAAATAATTGATTAATGTTTTTCTGACGATTAATTGCACACCATACGATTATGCCCAATCCTAATATTTGTAAACAAATGTAAATTATAAATTGAACAAAATCCTAAGGTGCACACACATCCTGAATAAGCTCAACAATTTGATCTATGACTGTAACTTAGGCTGTAAAAAGGACTGTACTTATAGTATCTTTCTATCCAACCAGGACACAAAGTGCTTTACACTACAATCTGTTCCTTCATTTACCCATTCACACAGCACACTACCACTGTACTCACTACAAAGGTGAATGAACCTATAAAGACTAATCAGTGCTTTAAATCACACTCATGCGCTGATGGGGTYAAGTGTCAGGGACACTTTCGCATGTGACGGAATAGCGGGGATTGAACCACCAACTCTTGCATTAGAGGAATGGCTCCCCTAACCAATYTRCCACAGCCACCCCAACATCTGGGCAAACATATGGAATAAATAAAAAAGAGAAAAACTGTACATTTACACAAACTGTAGGATTAGAATTTAATTTATATTTCATTTTGAGCCTCTGGAGGATTTAAAGCTGAATCATTCAAACTTGTTTGGACTTATGTTGTGGACATTTCTTCATGTCAGTGACCTTAGATCAATCAGTCAAAGTCCAACCATTTGCGTTCAACTAAAGGCAGTAACAACCACCAGGTGTTTACTACAGAGGATCATGGAATCCAAGTGCTCCACTAGAAGATTATAACATTCAGGGGGTGGCACCTGCATAAATTCTTTTCAGGGAGGAGGGGCATATGGGGGCCGAAAAACCAGGGGTGGCACACCAAAACTAAAATCCATAACAGAAATCTCATGATGCTGTTTTAAAATGAAAATTTAAAAACGATGGCAATATAAGGGCTAAGGATTTCACTGATTCTGTGACGTCCAGAGACCAGAACAACTATCCGTACTTCCACAACGGCTMATTTTTAACGTGTTCTGTTTCTTTACACATGGAGTATCGTAAATTGTCCTTCCATTATTATTACATATTTCAGGGGCATCAGAAGTATTTGTAATGGTGTCCTTTTATTTCAAAAATGTAAAAATATAAATTTTAAAAATATTTACAAAGAACAAGCTTTTTCACTTTTAAAGCCATCACCTCTTCTATGTATGTTAAAAT